TGACACATATTTACACATAAATTACTCCTAAAATAAACTTATTTTAAACATAGACAAGTAGGATCTAGTTTTGTTTCTCTCGTCACGTAGAACACATCGGTGCAGACAGAATTAAAAACAGATACACCGTTTAAAATCTATGGCAATTCGAAGAAAATACGTAGCAGTATTTTCTTTTCTTGGTTTGCGTGCTGACCACATGCAGGCAATGGCGGCAACAGGCTTCTCGGGGGCACAGCCGCACAGGCTTGTCGGGGCGTATGCACTGCCTCACTGGCCTGCTGCGCGCTGGTCCCCACGTGGGCTGGGTCTCGCGCGCTTCCGGTATGCGCGACGGGTCGCGCTATATCCGTCTCCTTTGTGATAAGCCTCGTAACCCGGGACCACAGATTTATCAAAAAAAAAAAAAAACCAGGACCACAGGATGTAATCGCCAAGTGACCGGATATTAATTAATAAACAATTTTGTTTTTGTCTCTTCTCTCTTCTTGTTAAGTTATTACGTGTTCGTCCTGATTGTTCCTATGACTTATAAACTAACTGATGCTATTTTATTATGAGAGAAAAATATAGCTGATAAATTTGGCTGATAAGATCAAGCGAAGCGAACATGACGATTATTATTCTTCGTCCGCACTAAAGGCCGGAGGAGCATCCATGACGGAAGTGCCCTTCGCTGAGAGAGCTGCTGCCATGGCAATGTGGCGGCAGGACACAACCAAGGATTCGCAAGAACGGTGGCAGCGTCAAGTGACCAAGGCACGGCGCGACGCCGCGTTGGTGGCCCAGCTGCCGCCGCACATACGTGCCAACAACAACCGGCCGGTTTAACATCAACAACACTTCTGTGGCATCGCTGCTCCTTGTCGTCAGCTGCGCCGACGATCACAAAGTCACTACGAATGTCCTAGCCGGCAGCACCTGAAGGCCAGGTCAGTTTAGTTCACGTGGTAGCATGAGTTGCATGCGCCAGTACAAGATGAGCTAAAAGGAAAGAAGCTATAATCAACACCTGTACAGACGACGCAGAACTTGCATCGTATGTAACCAGAGGAGTATCCACGACAATTTCCTATATGTCCAATACTTGGTATGGACACCACAGAAAAGGAAATTGCCAGCCCTATTCCTCACAAAGCCTTCGACGCGGTCAACCGGAGCTACCTCCTCAAGGTTACAGGCATTAGGATTCGGCCCATGTTGGCTTGAGTGGGTGTCCATCCTTTTCTTCACCACTTCGTCGAGAGCATTGCTAAATGGCCTTTGGTCACAGGAGGGGAGTCCGGCGGGGAGACCCTCTGTCGCCCATATTGTTCATACTTGCCATGGACCCGCTGCAGCCCCGGCTGGACTTAGCAACACAGCACGGCGTCCTCACCGCCTTGCCTCTGCCTGCGGCAAGATGGAGAACGTCCATGTATGCAGACGACGCAACAATATTCATCAACCTAATCAAGGATGACCTGGAAGCCACCATGACCATTTTGCATGCATTGGCAATGTCTCAGGCTTATACATAAACCTTCAGAAGAGCTCAGTCCACCCTATCAGATGCCAAGACATCGACATGGATCATGTATTGGTCTCCTTCCTAGGGTCAAGAGATCCTTCCTGTGCCGCTACCTGGGACTGCAGCTACATATGAGATCCTTGTAGAAAGTTCATGTACAACCACTCATTGAGCGCATCGCCAAGAGGCCACTGGGATGGAAAGACAAAATGCTCAACAGAGCAGGCAGGCTAACCATAGTCACCTTGGTACTCTCTTGGATGCCGACTTACCACATCATAGTGTTCCCACTTGTGGTTTGGGCCAAAAAGAAGATTGACAAAATAAGAAGATCCTTCCTTTGGAAAGGAGATGAGAATGAAAACAGGGGACACTGTCTAATAAATTGGCCAACGGTATCATGCCAAAGGAATTGGGAGGCATGGGGTTTCCAGACTTGGAGAGATTTGAGAGAGCCCTACGTCTCAGATGGTTGTGGCAGGAATGGGTGGACGAATCAAAACCTTGGGTGGGAACGGAAGTGTCGTACAATGACATTGACTGCCTTCTATTCAACTCCTCTACCACAATCACATTAGGCAATGGAAATAAGGCCTGTTTTGGCACCATAACTGGCAAAGAAGGTGAAGTGCCCAGATATTTCGCACCACACTTGTTCAGGCTAGTACGAAGAAAGAACAGGACGGTGAGTCCAGAGCTACAAAATGTTAACCGGATCCGATCCCTACATGCACGTCTCACAACATCTATACATATCCAAGAATTCATTGGGCTTTGGATCAGATGTGGACGACACAATTACTTGGAGGTGGACAGCCAACGAAAAGTACTCCACACACTCAGCTTACAGGATCAAGTTCTAAGGGTCCCATAGAATAAAATTCCATCACGAGCTCATTTAGAAAGAGCCAGTGGAAAACAAATGTAAAGTACATGCCTGGATACTAATGCATGATAAGTACTAATGGCAGATAACCTACAGACTAGGGGATGGCAACACGCCAACACATGATTATTGTGCATTGTGTAATGAGCCTTTAGAGACCGGGATTCACCTATCCTTGCTTTGTCCCTTTGTGAGGGCTGTTTGGGGCGAAGTGTTATCTTGGGAAAATCTCAATGTGCAGTTGCCACACCAAGACACCACTTCCATGTCTGATGGCATGAAACAGCAAGAAAGGTGCCAAAGCAAGAGCGCAGGTGTTTCAATGGCATATCAGTTTATATAATGTGGAACCTATGAAAGGAGATGAATAGACGGACTTTTTAAAACAGTCACAAGACGGCACAGCAGGTCGCCTCTCTGACAAAGGAGGACATTGAACAAAGGCGCATGGTGTTTTTCATTTGTGGGATGAATCATATCCAGTGGAAAGGGGGATTTTAGTTGCCTACTAAAACTGGGCTGTCACTTTGTTTGCCATGTGTACATAAAGCTCTTTTTACTTAATTGAGCGGGAGAGCTCCAGCCTCTTATAATTCTTTACTGGTTCTGCTATTAAAATATATGTGCACAATTTTTTCAACGTTTGCAGTAATAGTAGCACTACAAATATTAGACATAAATACTTTTCGACCACAAATAGCTTCTCTAGACATTTACATTACAAATAGCTGATAGGTCAGGGGTGTACTTCAGTGATAAACTTCCTACTACCATTGATTTCCCTGTAAAGAGCTCTAGTAGAATAGGAACTGTTTACACCAAAATTTGGGAAGAAGAACGCGGGAACTCGAAGCTTGCAGGATTGTGTCATTAAGGAATTGATTGGATAAAAATCGGTAGCAGCTGATTTAGATGTAATGTCAAAATCGGCTATTTTATGGATGACGTCAGCAGACGGCGTCAATGGGCTATACTTGAGTGGAGTCAGGGAGACGTATCGGACTCTACGAATAAGGAAAATTGGGGTCCAAAGTTATTATTAAGCTAGGAAGTTTTCTTTTATTCCAAAAATTATAATGAGTCGTATTTGAGTAGGATTCATGTTTAGGTTCTACGTATAAATATTATACCCTGGTTATTGTAAAAAGGGGACAAACATTCAATCAATACAATCTTTTCGGCTTTCGCCATCGCATTAGGAGTAGGAGTACTGTAGATCTCGGCGAGTTCTTCAGCAAACAGGGCTGCATCGACTGATCAACCTCCAGCTTGCTTGTGAGTACCGTCACGACTTGTATTGTGCTTGTAAAGCTGCATCAGCTGATTAATCTTTTATGAGCCATAATATAAGTTAGTTATCGATCTGTATCGTAGTTTGTAAGGCTGCATCAGTTGATTGATCCCTTACGAATCATAATATAGATCAAAGTTATCGATCTTGTGTTAAATAACTCGTTGTTTAATACAATATCACCAGTTATCGAATCTGCTAAGATTAGTAGGATTTCCTTGTTGTTTTTGGTTGATTCACCAGTTATTGATCTTGTTATAATTAATGTTTTCTTAATTATAACAAAATCACCAGATTGAGATAGAGATAGATCGGCATCATATTATCTTAATTGGTTGTCTTCTAGTTTGGTCACGCTTTAAATCTTATGATTGATGGCTTAATTCTGCTAGATCGGTTGTTGTATTTCTATTCCAATCAAACATAGTATGCATTCAAAGACATGTTTCAATCTTGAATAAACTCATTAGTTAACGAGATCTAATCTAATGGCACTACTATAGCTGCATCGATCCGGTCGAACCTCACTGGTAAGACTTTAGATTAGAAATTATCAATTAGTGGTCTTGTTCATGATCAAGATATGTACTTTATTTATTTGCTATGACTACATCGGCTATTTTAGTCGATTTGCCTATACCCTCACGTATATAGCATGTTTTTTATGAATCTGTCAATATAGATGGTTTTATAGATTATTTGGCTTTAGTTTGTTATTATTATCATAGTTGCATCGATCCGATCAAACCTCACTGTTGATGATAATAGATTAGATTCAAACTGTTTGTAAATTTATTTATATCATACAGTTGATTTGTTCGCATGTTATGCTCTTTTTATAGATACGCTGGATATCGACTGTGTAGTCGATAGTCTCATTGAATCTGCTATCTAACCATACATTTGGAATTGTTTTGTGCAACACCGACATATTTCACTTTAAATTACTGATAAGATTTTCTCTCCTTGTCATGTCAGAATCGACTGGTTCTATGTTGAAGTCAAGCAGATCTCTTGTCTCGTTCCACTCAGATCTTCTGGCTTACTGTGTGTTGATCACATCACCATATTTTTGTTTCAACAGGAGCTAAATTGCAAATATCTCTCTCCACCTTGGAAGTGGAAAGGTAGGGTCTCCATAGTCTTTAATTCTGTTTATTTAGGCAAATAAAACCTCCCCCCCTATTTTAATACTAGTCTTTTACAATTAGCTGACTTTTGCACAGTTGTACTACAATGGTATTTTAGTGCGGTATCTTCATAAATTCATTGACTAATTCTTGCTGCACAACTGTCGCCGCAGAAATTGGCATCTAGGCGATCATATTGGATCGCCTCTTTTCTGCATCTTCATTTAAGCACTCAGATATCACCTTTGCAAGATTTTTAAGATGGCGACAAAATTTCACATCCAAGAGCTTCTCTAACCCACAATTTCTAATATGATTATTAGGTACCTTTTTCCATGTGAAGAGTTCCAGTAGAACAACTCCCATACTGTAAATGTCCGCCTCCTTAGTCAATACTCCACTTTCAGGAAATTTGGGATCCATATAACCATTGTTCTCCTCTGTTTCAAATCTTTCCTGTGCAGACTTTTTCATAGAAAAATAAACAGAAGCTTCAATGCTTGAAATTTTTATTGGGACATTCTTCGAAAAAATGCCCTGGGGAATATCTCCCACAAGTATGTTCGAAGTTCTGACATCTCCATGGGTAATGCCTAGTGAATGCAAGTAATCAAGACCTGTAGCAATAGATATTGCTATATGGAGACACTCTTCAGAGTTAATTATCCAGTTTTTGCAGCTATCGCCAAAAAGGATGTCATGCAGGCTCCTCTTAGAAAACTCATAAATAAGGATTGGCATGTTACGATGATCTACCCAGCAGCCCTGAAACCTAATGACATTCTCATGGTCAATTTTTGACTGCAGTACCATCTGACGGGAAAATTCCTCCATTGATTCACCGTGAACTTCAAATGACATCTTTATTGCAACAAATGGCATTCCGTTCATGTTTCCTTTGTACAACTTTCCCATAAAACGTTCAGTTGGAATATTCTTGAAGTAGCTCGTCACCTTATATATTTGCTCATCAGTGATGAATCTTGTAAAGCCAGATTCTTTCAAGAAAGACTTCAAACTTATCATCATGAGTTTTTCTTGCTCTCTTTGAAGCTTCCGAAGACATTCAGAGACATCTTTCATCTTTGGCCTTTCTTCTAACTCGAACTTTAAACACTCGAGTGCAAGCTTAACAATTCCATCAAGAACCTTGATATTCTCACTAGAAGCAATCTCTTTGTCAAAAGAATCATGAGTTTTAGCATGACCAAAAGATTTTGCAAGGAAATTTTTGTTATTATCAATAGCCTTTTTTCTTGTGATGAGCTCTAGAAGAACAACGCCAAAACTATAGACATCACTTTTTGTTGTTAGGCACCCAGTTTGACAAAACATGGGGTCTATGTAGCCCATACTTCCAATAACATATCCTGTGTATTCATCTGAACCCATGGAAAGCAACCTTGATATTCCAAAGTCAGAGAGTTTCGGCATATACTTGTTATCAAGAAGTATGTTCTCTGGTTTAATGTCACCATGAAGGATCGGATGACTCTGAGAGGTGTGCATGTAAACAAGTGCTTCTGCTACTTCTGTGGCTATCTTTAAGCGTCTGTTCAGGGATAGGGGTATTTGTTGGCTTGTATTCTTGCCGTGCAGAAGGTCAGAAAGATTTCCATTAGGGACAAACTCAGTTACTAACATTGGAGCATCTGCTTCTATGCAGCAACCCAACAATCTGACAATATTTTTGTGGCTGAATTGATATTGTATAATCACTTCTTTTGTGAACTCCTTCTTGTTTGCCGTAAAGATATACTTTTTGACTGCAACTGGACGGCCGTCGTCCAGTCTCCCTTTGTACACTATGGAGAAACCTCCTTTTCCCAGAATAGTGTTGTAGTTGTCTGTTATGCTCACTATTTGTCTTTTTCTGAAGCACTTAATGTTAAGCTCGCTATCTGCCTTTCCCAGTACTGAACCAGCAAACTTAGTGAAAAATAATCGGAGTTGTCGATGTTGCTCCTCCATATTCTATCACAAGTTAATCCAATTGTCTGGAATAGAACTATGTTAATAAATTGGATGGCAAAAGCATCTGGTGCAAATTTACATAGTCACATTTGTAAATTCAAACATAGGGTATAGATACATCCAGCAACCAAACACCAACTCTTTGCATTCTATTATGCTAGCTTAAGATAATGCTTCGTAAGGCCCAATGTAGGCTCAAGCTAGTGCAAGTGAGCAATAACACCCATCGCAAGACGTGGTTTAATTTCCGTTGGCGAGGTGAGGGACGAGAGAGAGAGAGAGAGAGAGAGAAAGAGAGCCTAAGACCCACAGAGAGAAACTCCAGCTATGATGAAATCTAACCTTCTCGATCCACCAAAACTAGAAGAGTACCCTCATGGTGCATTCGCCTTCCCCCTATCCAAGTTTAACGGCCAATGAGCGGTTGTAGGCTCACCACGGCGCCCTTCCATGGGGGAGCAACTCATTGTTGGTGATGCATTAGGGTTGGCGAAGAGGCAATGAGGGACACTAGGGAAGTCACCAAGGCAGTACAACACAAAGGAGGGAGTGATCTGGGGCCTCGTCCTGCTACTTGGATTAACAAAGTGGAATCATGGATAAGAGAAAAAGCGACAAGCGGAGGAAATTTGAAGTGTGTGGGCCACCCTCCTAGAACATCATTCAGATGTTTATTTTGGAGTGTCGTAGATATGACCCCCGATAATTATCATGAAGGACATAATTGGCTCCTTGGACATAGGATGGGCCCGGCCAACTACATGGAGTCTAGAAGACATCTTGTGTACCCAATAGTGAAAAGAAGACTTAATTAACTTGGGCACTTAGTAAAAGTGCATCTAGATCCTAAGTGAGTTTTGGCGGATTGAATGAAAACACGGTTAAGGGAGTAATATACTTGATGATATTATATGCAAGTGTTTAATCCCAAGTTGATCGTTGTATTTGGGCTCAAATAAGGCAAATGACATGCAAATTAAAAATAAGTTCAAGATTAATGAAATGAATGACAAAAGAGAGACATGGATTGATGTATATCAAACGGTCTCACACATGAAGCTTGTTCATACTATGGTTTATTGAAATTAGGACTTCATATAGTTGATCTAAGAGCAAGCATAATTATTAAATGAAGAAGGGGACATGACTATGGATTAATGTAACTTCCTAAAATTTGCTACTTTGGAAATGGAGTTAAATTGATTTAATTTTCAATTTTTGTGCTCATGAAATATAAGAAAAAGAATATTTTCATTATATTAAAATTCATCATAAGGAGTAGCAACATGGTTGTGCATACGTGCCAGTGCCTTTGATTTATTTGGTTGAGTGGTTTGAATCAAGATTCAAAATGGTTTGAATTGTTTTTGGAAATAAATTTGAAAATGGCTTTGAAGTAAAAGAAAAGAAAGATAAAAGAGAATTGGAAAATAAAAGAGTTTTAAAAGTTGCAAAGTTTATTTTTGAAAACCTACCAAAAGTTCTTATCCTATTTTGAATTAAAAGTATATTTGAAACTATATTTAAATTTAATTTGGATCATATTTGAATTTGGATTGAAAAGGGGAAATAGGAAAATGGGAACACTCCCTCTATCAATCTGGCCCGAAGGCCTGCTTTCTCCCTCAGCCCAGCCTGCTCCTGCCTCTCTTTCCCGAGGCCCAGCTCCCGCGCCGTTTCTTTCTCTCTCTCTGGCACGTGAGCCCAGCTCACTCGGTGGCCCATCCACTCCCCTTCTTCCATGGGTCGGCCAAGCCAGCAGCGCCCACGCAGCCGTGTCTCTGCTCTCTCTCACTGACGACATGGGCCCAGTCAGTGGCGCCCTTCCCTTCTCCTCTCCTCTCTCACTGACGCCACGACCCCGCGCTCTCACTCTCGCTAACAGGTGGACCCCTTTGTCAGACGCGTCTCCTACCTTCCATCCCCAATGCGGACTCTGCCGCTGCCGACTCCACCTCCGCTCCGTCTCCTCGCCCTGACTTGCGCCTCAAGCCGTCGAGCCCCATAAATAGCGTCCCCGAGCTGCTCCGCCCTCGCCTAGCTCTATCCCGAGCCCTAGCATATCCGCGCCGCCCTGTGCCCTAGCTTCACCGTCCCGAGCTCGCCAAGAAGAAGCCAACACCGCCACGCTGATTGGCTGCTCCATCGTACCAGTAAGTACCATGTAGAGCTCCGAATCGAGTTTGAGAACTTGTTGAACCCCTTTAATCCCTCGCTCTCGCTTTGTTTTGACCGGAACTGCTACGCCGTCGCCATTACTCATCGCCAGTAGCCACTGCTCGCCAATAGCTGCCATAGATTGCATAGATGGATTCGCCTCGTTCTCCTCTTGCTCCCTGACCTTCTCCTGAGCCAAACGATGGCCGGAGTCATCGGATTGACAAACTCCGGCGAGGCCTCTGTTTTTTCGGCCGTGCGCCGCTGCCTGGACTCGCCGCCGGCCGGTAGCCCTCTCCCTCCTTCTCCCGATCTAATCCGAGCCATTCATGGTAGATCCAACGGTTCAGATTAGCCTATACCCCTTCGCCTGGCTGTTTTACGAAAAGCCCCTGAGTTTCCTTAGAATCAACCCGCAGTCCACCCTCTGTTGAAAATAATTCAACATATATCCCTAGATTTTCTGTTTCAGCCCCTATGTTTTTCTAAAAACGACACCCAGTCCACAGGTCTGTTTTAATTCAGTTTTTAATTATTTTTAATTCGAAATTGACTTCAAAATATTTATAAAATTACCACTATCTTCATTAGGCCATATTTTCTTCGTTTTAACTTTGATTTGACCCGTTTAACTTGCGTTAGGTTCGTAATCCCATAATCTACATGTTCATATTACTGTTAGATATTTTTTCAACTTTTAAAATTCGAGGTTAGATTTAATCTATTATTTTATTAAAGTAAATCTTGTTTAATTCATATCTTCTACGTTTTAGCTCCGATTTGACATGTTCAAGTTGCACTAGATTCATTATAACGAGATCTACGTGTTAGTAACAATGGTTATCATGTCACTATTTCTAGAATTTCATGGTTTAAACTCTAATTTGAATAATAATTATGCAACTAGATTTTATAAGTAAAATACGATTTGTTTTACTTTAGTTTTATGATTCAAATCTAAATTTGACTTAATTTAATTTATAAAAGCTTTTATGTAGTTAAAACACATGAAGCTTATAGTTTTATATTTTCTCTTATGAGTAGATCTTTCGGTAGCCGTTTCTTTCAAACCGTAGCTCCGATTAGTGTGTTCTTCGCGCTAGTGTGTGTAGAACGTCTTTAAAACCTTTTCACTTGCTATTTCACATGTTTTGTGTACTGTTCTAATTTAGTTCTATTGTTTGCTTCGTGTATGATTGCATGGATGCTTGTGTGGTGTTTAATGATCTTGTCTAGTCGGTGAGTTTTGCGTGGTGATCAAGAAGCAGCTCTTTGGAGGCTACAAATCAATAGAAGGAGGATCTAAGTTTAAGGCAAGTATAGCATGGGATCTTTCTTGTTGTCCTATACACCTTTAATCATTTAATTCATACTATATGTGTCTACCTTGACTACCACTAAGGATTTCCTAGTACTTTGTTACCTTGTACCTTGATTCCTATGGGTTTATGTATTGGGCAGTATGATGCTAGTGCTCAACTACAACCATGATCTTGTAACTTGACTAATGGTATATGCAATAAACACTAAAAGATGCTTTTTAGCAACATGGAACAAGGGGGCTAGAGCATTGGGCTGTTTTTATGGTGCTCTAGATTCCTCTCCCTAAGGACTTATCTGTAAGTGATCATCCGGGACTTACAGTACAACTGTGAGGGCTATATGGCTCTGGCTTTAGCTCAGTATGAGGACCTTTTCTAGCTCGTTAGAGGTTACCTTTATGGCGCAAGAGGGGTGCGTTTTGGGTTGGATATAGTGCGGCCTCTGTCCATCAGTGTATAGGCTATGCGTCATTGTGCCTGTCAGAAGGGGAGCCCTACATTCGCAGGGCACAGAAACCTAGCGGCCCTAACTTGTTAGATGAACCTTTGAAAGGCTTCGTAGTGACCCCTCCAAACCTTCCTTGGTAGTGGGTTAAGAGGCTCGCGACCTCTGGCGAAAGGATAAATCACGACTCATAGTGAAAGTGTATAATCTCTGCAGAGTATAAAACTGGTATATCAGTCGTGCTCACGGTCACGAGCGGCCTTGGAACCCTTACGGAATAGATGATGAACACTGATGATACTGATGATGAAGATGCTCACTAATGATTACTGTTTATGCTATTCATTATTCATGTTTACCTGATCATGTGTTTATGGGCTTGTGATAAACTTGTTACTACTCCTATGCTAAAATTGTGACAATTAAAAGCTCATTGCAGTTAAACCAGTGTCAGCCTTTTGAGCCTCATGAATCTCATGTTATATTTGTTGAGTACGACATGTAATTACGCTTGCTTTACTTTTTAAATCTTTGGAAAAATCCTGGATGGGTACTAGATTGCTAGAGTTTGGAGGAATTAGGCTTGTGATCAACCAGCCAGTTGTCCCTGTGAAATTGGAGTCTTCACCCGAAGATCGAAGTTGTCTTTCCGCTGTTTGCTATCTAAGATTATATTCTTTATACTAAGTACGTTATATAATGAGCATTGTCTAGTGATATTACCCTTATTTGTAGCTATATGTGATATTTGACTTCCTGGGCTCATATATGGTGTGTATCTGGTTTTGTTCTTAAAACTAGGTGCTACAATTAATCACACATAGAGAGCTTGCTAAATCAAATTAAGAATGTTGATATTGGATTTCATATTCATCAAAGAGCAATGATAGGTTACTTGATTACACTAATCGTTTTCATATATCCAAGGATGAAGAAAATTGATCAAGGTCATTGCATTCCAAGAAAATAAGACATCAAAGTTTGAATTGTTTCAAGATTGATATTCAAGTAGGCACTCAAGAAAGAATCATACCAATGAAGAAATGGTTTTCAACTGAGTGGTCAATGTTGAT